GAATCCAAGCATGTGGGCCATCATCTGCTGCCTCCCAGGTGTTTTGGCAGGAATTTGGATCAAAAGTAGAGACCAGGGGCCAGCATCGTGGCATAGAGGGTAAGGCCACTGTCTGTAGTGTCCTCATCCCATATGGGTGCCAGCTTGAGTCCCGGCTGCTCCACTTCCAATCCAGATCTCTGCTGTGGCCTGGAAAGCAGTAGATGATGTCCCAAGTCCTTGGACTCCTGCACCCTTGTGGGAGACCTGGAGGAGGTTCCTATCTCCTGGCTTTGGATTGGCACAGCTCCAGCTGTTGTGGCCAATTGGGGCATGAACTAGCGGATGGAAGACTCTCTCTCTGTGCCTCTCCTTCTCTCTGTGCATAACTCTGACTTTCAAATAAATCAATAAATATTAAAAAAAAAGTAGAGACCAAAAGTACGGTAAAGTCTGAGACTTTACCCCAGACTCTCCAATCTAGGATTTGGCACCCCGATTAGTTACTTAATCTTCTGTGCCATAACTCTTGCCTCAATACCTAAATTTTTGACTTGAGCAATTGGTTGGATGATGGTGACTCTCCACAAGTAATATCACAAGAAAGGGGAAAATTGGTTAGTGAAGATGAATTCAGTTTTGGATTTTGGATCACTGATTTGCAATGCCTGGAAGACTGCAAAATACTTAGATGCACAGAAATAAATTTATGAGAGCTATAGGTAGTATATAAACATATTTCAGAATCATCAGCATGAGATGGCCCACGGGTACCATTCAGACTGAGAAAACAATGAACAATGGAATTACAAGGCAGATTTAATTGATAAGAAATATGGTTGAAGGTCAGGAAAGAAACAGTAGCGTGCCCACAGAAATAAGGGGGAAAACAATAGGAGTGTGAAACAAGCAAAACTATGGGGAAAAGATATGAAGATGTGAACAAGGCATAAAACAATGTAGGACTGAATGTGGATAACAGATTTAGTCAACATCAGTAACAGGATGTCACTGACAACCTTGGCAAGAAGTGTTTTGGTAAAAAAGATGGAGATAAAATCTAGTTCACATTGAACTGGAGTGGTGGAAAGGAGGAAGCAAAGACAGTATAAACAATAACTGCCTGTACAGAGAAATCAGAAATAGAATGATGGTTGAAAGCAGATCTGTGGCTGATAAAGAGCTAAAAAATTATTTTTTTCAAATCAATGAGAGACACAAGATATTGACCATTTTAAAAAGACTGACACCATGAACATCCCAGTCTAAACTTCAACATCTAAGGTAGATCATTAGGATATTCTTACTGTCTTTCCCTCTTATACAACTCCCCATTGCATTTCTGCTACACCATTCCTCTTTCATAGCTCCATATATTTTCCTCACAAATCTAAATACAGGATTCCCTTCCTAAAGTCAAGTAGCTGTGGCAACTTCTTCCTTCTTGAATTAGAGTAGGTTTATATCTCTCAATATCCTCTGGAGAGAGAGATCAGGGAAGCTATGAGGCCCCATACTGCTAGTGAGTGTTATCTCCACGAAATAGTTTACCTGCTTGTGACTATTCATTCTTACTTACAATAATCCCGTAATTTATCTGCTGGTAGGTATTCACTCTTTTTTTTTTTTTTTTTTTTTTTGACAGGCAGAGTGGACAGTGAGAGAGAGAGAGACAGAGAGAAAGGTCTTCCTTTGCCGTTGGTTCACCCTCCAATGGCCGCCGCGGCCGGCGCACCACGCTGACCCGATGGCAGGAGCCAGGTGCTTCTCCTGGTCTCCCATGGGGTGCAGGGCCCAAGGACTTGGGCCATCCTCCACTGCACTCCCAGGCCACAGAAGAGAGCTGGCCTGGAAGAGGGGCAACCGGGACAGAATCCGGCGCCCTGACCGGGACTAGAACCCGGTGTGCTGGCGCCGCAAGGTGGAGGATTAGCCTAAGCGCTAGGAGGATGGCCCAAGTCCTTGGGCCCTGCACCCCATGGGAGACCAGGAGAAGCACCTGGCTCCTGCCATTGGGTCAGCGTGGTGCGCCGGCCGCGGCAGCCATTGGAGGGTGAACCAACGGCAAAGGAAGACCTTTCTCTCTGTCTCTCTCTCTCTCACTGTCCACTCTGCCTGTCAAAAAAAAAAAAAAAATTCATAAAAGGGAATATGGTGGCTCCCACTCTGCCCTCACATTAGCAGGGCACTCTGTAAGTATTCTTTCCTCCCTAAATAATATACCAGAACTTCTCAAACTGAATCAACACCAATGGTGTTTCCAGTAGTATCTTACTAGAGAGTTTTCAAAATGTACCAAAGCAGTATAAAATAGAAGGACTAGGAGTTGTATTATTAGTACACTGGAATCTTTATTTTATTTCACATTCTAGAAAAGCAACATTCAATGAAAATATAATGTAATCTACATGTAATTGAAGGCAAGTTTAAGTTGGCTAGTGGCCACATTTTAAAAAAGTAAAGCACAAAACAAAACAAAGGTAAAATTAATTATTTGGCCTAATTATCTAAAATATTTAAATGTACAACGAATATAAAAAATACTGAGCTATTTTACTTTTTTGGTTGAGATTCTTACTAAGTCTTTGAAATCCGATGGATATTTTATACTTAAATGCATATCACAATTTTGACTAGCCACAATGTAAGTGCTCAATTGTCACATATTGATAGTGGTTAGTTACTGGACAATGAAGGTTTAAAACTTTGGAGTGTTTCTTGAGGGCATTTAACTGTGACTAATGTTTGTTATTCTAACATTATTGGTTGTTTTCCTGTGCTCAGTTTCCGGCTTCCAATAATGGCACGGATTTTAAAAGACCTAATTTAAGTTACATGATTACCTTTGTAACAGTTTGTCTCAAGGGCTCTGTTACCAAGAATAGCATGCAGAAGTGGATCTTCAAAAGATTATTCATTCTTCTCCTACTCCAATTAGAGAATAAAAGGGGGAAGGAAAAGGTGAGGGTTGTACAGAGGTTTTTTTCTTCTTTTTTCTTTTTAAAATCCTCTTTTTGTTGTTTCTTGGCTTGAAGGAGAGGCTGATGTAAGGAAACCTCAGAGGTCTCTTGCTTTACAGCAAGAGTTAGGGATGGATTTCCAAAGGTTATGTTGTATGCACCGAATCTTGGTAGATAAGGAGGAATCCACTCAGTTCAATGGGAGAACACCTGTCTTTTCAGGAACTCGAAATAGTTTAGGACAGTAGAAGCAGACTGAAAGGTATTAAAAGGAGTTTTCAGGCAAACATTAAGAGGTTTGACTTATAAAATGGCCTTTTAGAAGATGTAAAAAATTTCATTCTGAAGACAAAGCAGAAGTTGACAAAGATTTTAAGCAAGGAAATGACATGATTAAACTTTAGGATTATCTGCTGTTGGAGGCAATGATGAAGGCAACAGAAGATGCACTGAGGAGTGCAGCCTAAAAGAGAGATTTCAAGGCAACTGTCATTGTTTAGGGAGAACAGAAGACCTTAAACAGAAGGGGAAGAGGCTGAGCCACTGGGAAAAGAAGTGCAGTTATTCTCTGTGGGAAATGTGGAGAGAAAATCAAGTTAGCTGAAATATACAGTATTTGACAGAAGGTTTGGAGGACTGGAACAGAGGGCCAGAGCTGTGGAATAGTTGGTGATAAGGTGGAAAGTATTAGTGCAGTTAGCCTGTGGCAAGGTTGTACAACATAAAGACTAAAAAATTATGATTTTAAGTTTTAGTAACATCGAATTTATAAATATTTATTGTAAAAGAAACAGAAGATTTACTGTTTCAATGATTGTTATACTTGATCTTACCCAAAAGGCCAATAAGCAATTATTTCAATGATTTTTAAGTGTCTCTTTCAGCAGAGATCAGTATGTCCACATAATCCTGAACATCACCCATCTCCAGAACTGTCATCATTCCAAACCAAAACTCTATCCACCGAAAAGTAACTTTCTTTTCCCATTTTCCATGCCCCCTTCTCTACCGGCCACTCCTGGTAACCACCATTTGACTTCCTGTCTGTAATCTGGCTACTCAGACATCTCATATGCGTGAAATCATATTTGTCCCATTGTGTCTAGCTTATTTCACTTAACTAAATCACTTTAATCAACACCCTAGTTATTCAGTCGCTGGATTCTAATTTGCATCCCACTCTACATACTACTTTTTTTTTTTTTTTCAAACAAACGTCTAGCTTTGTACTTGATAATCTTTCCACTTAGTGCCCAAGGACACTTCATTCTGGTAAATTGCAAACACAGTGTTCATAAGGATAATTTAGTCTACCATTGTTGACTCCCATAATGAGCTTCTATTGGTCTACTTATTGTCTTTAGATTGTGAATTATTTTCATTTTTTCCATTTTAATTCACGGATCCTAGATCTTTTAATAAAATTCCACTTAGCACTTAATGGTAGAGAATAATAATACATGGAATTCAGGCAGCATCAAAAGTTATTTGACCACCCAGAAGGGAAATTTACTTGGGATGCTGGTACAAAGGCTCTCTCTTTTTGATACTATTCTGATAGGGCTTAATCTGCTCTAACTGAAGAGAAATAAAGACAAAACTTTCTCACCTGTAGCTGGGGGAAAGGTGGTTGGAAACAGAGCTGGCAAAGTTCTCTCACCTCTCTCTTGGGGCACCCCTAGGTCTTTAGGGCTCTGTCAACAGGTCAAGTTACTTGGGACACGACAGAAATGCTCTGGAGGCCTCAGTGGCTTAATCAGACCAGCCTGTATTCACCCATCTTGTGCACACACAGAGCGTGGAACTAATGGGGTATCGCGCAGGACGCCTAGAACCGGGGCCGGCCGGCTGATGGAGACGCTCTCATGGAGCTCTGCCTCTCAAGGTAGCTTCATGCTCACTCGCCACTACTGTCTTAGAGGAGAGGCTGCGGCTCCCGCCTTTTCCAGCAGTCAGCGGCCTTTCCCCTTTTGTTTAAAAAGAGAACTTTTACTCATTAAGGGGACTCAACCGTGAAAAAGCACAAAGGCCTCAAGTTACGCAAATACGCAAAAATCCAACCTTCGCACTCGCTCAGGGCTCTCCCGTCGATCTTACGTCTCTTCCCAGCAGGCTCTGGGAGTCACCGCGAGACTTCATTAATTCTCGCGAGATTTATCGGCAGCCATCTTCTTGGGGGTGCTGGGAGCCGGGAAGACCCCCCGAATCGTTCCCATTGAGCTGTCCTTCGTCTCCGCCTTTTTTTTCCCCCCCCTAACTTTTGCCTCTTCTGCGTTGCCAACAAGCACCTATTCCCGAAGCTGAGAGAAAGGCCGGGTCTAAGCGCGTGTCGCGCTCCCGCTCCGGCAAGGCTTGCTGGGGACCGGAGAAGGGGGAGGGCCGGGGCAAACCGTTGCTGCCTCAGCCCGGGCCCGGGTCCGGGGAGGGGAAAAGCTCCTGGCGCCCCTTGGACTCGTGGCCTGCGGCGGTCCCCACGGAGCTGCTCGCGGGTCGGGACTCGCGGGAACCTGCCACCGGCGCCTCCCACCGCGGCCCACGCGAGCGGCGCGCGGAGGAGGGGGCGGGGGCAGCGGCGGCTGTAGCGGCCGCGACCTGGGCGGGCGGAGGAGTGTGACCGGCCTCGGGGCCGCTGTGGATGGTTTCTAAAATGATCATTGAAAACTTCGAGGCACTCAAGTCCTGGCTCAGCAAGACTCTCGAGCCCATGTGAGTATCCGGGGTATAGCTTCTTGCAGGGATGGCCCTGGGAGACTGGCGGACACACGGATCTGTGCAGTTTTCCCCAGGTGCCTATGGTGGAGGCCGAAGCGGGGAAGCGAGGTCCCAGGGCCCTTGTGTTTTCTCCTCCCCCTTCACCTTCGCTTCCCAGGTCCAAGATACCCCTGGGAATCTGAGCTGAACTGTATTTTATCTCGGAGCTGGGCCTCGAACCCGTCCATTCCTCCTGCTAATGTTTCTCCGTTATATGTAGTCTGACCCTCTCCCCCTCCCCCCCAACACACACCTGTATTTTCTGTGGGCCTCAAAATCAGATTATTTTAGTGAATTCGAGGATAATCTCCTTTCTACAGGCTATTTTACCTTGTTTCATTAAATGAATTGCCTGCCTTTTTGTACGGATTAAGACCTGGTTTTAATCGCTCACGTTTCACGTAAATACAGTCCCTGAAATAAAGGCCACGTCTCCCATGTGCCATCTGGCTCGTCTGCACCTCTCTTAACTGACTGAAGATGTAACAGGTGCTAAGGTGCCCAGTAAAATTCCCCTTTCCCGCCTACACGTTCAATCGCTTGGAAAGGAGGAAGAACATTTAATCTCCGTCCATATGGGGAATTTAGCAGTTTTAAGTGGAGGCTATGGAGGAACTGGGGGCAGGGGTGGGGAGTAAGAGGGAGTTAAGAGCTCTGAAATATCTTTAGATTTGAAAATTTAAGAACTGGTTTAAGGATTTATTAGTGCAAAATATATGTTGGACCAAATGCTGTATTAGATTTGGTTAGTTTACAATAAAGAACCAAAATGCAATGTTCTAATATTACTAATACAATATATTAATCACCTAGTGTGTACTGTGGGAGGCTTTGAGGATGGAGGTTTTAAATTTCAGCATAAACAGGACATAATAGGCAGATAAGATCATTTTAGATATAGAGTTATGATCTTTGTAGAACTAGAGGATCATATAAAAGGGTAATTAGATTGAGAGCTTCACTTCACATTTGATGGTCAGGGAAGTCCTCTTAGTAGAAGGCGTTTGGGTAGCACCTAAGGAGGTGAAAGAACCATCTAGGTGAAAGACTGGAGGAAAGAACCTTCTTTGCCGAAGGAAGGCAAATGCAAAGGCCCTGTAGCAGAAATGGTTGTGAGTTTCAGGAAGAGAAAAAATTGGCGGTGTGGCTGCAAGGAGCTTTTCTGATGAGAGAATTTGGAAGACATGAAGTTGAAGAAGGTGGTGGTGGTGGAGATGGAAGTCATATAGGCTCTTTTAGGCCTAGGTCAAGAGTGAGGTTTTGATTTAAAGTGTAATGAGAAGACATTAAGTGATTTAAAGCAGTAAGGACTGATGTGGTTTTGTTTTCACCCTGCCTGCTTTGTGGGCAAGAAAGGAAGCAAGGAGGTTTTTCTGCAGGGTGTTGCAGGGAAGGTTGTGGATAGTTGGCACTGGAGAAAGAGGAGAACCAAATGTTTTCTAAGTTGATTTGATAGAATTGGTAATTGGTTTTGGGAAATGAGAGAGGGAAAATCAAAGATGATGCCTAAGAAGTTAGGACTGAGGAACTGAATGGGTGATGGTAGGGAAGGCTGAGAGAGAACAAGTTCAGAGTGAAGAGGAGTGGTGGTTGGTTTTGATCATTAAGTTTGAGATGGTTCATACATCTAAATAAGGCTTCAGGTAGTTGGGTATCTGAGTCTAGAATTTAGACCAGAACTAGAGAAACTTGGAGTCATGCAGATAGTACTAGTATTTAAAGCCATGTGCTTGTGGGAGATATCTTAGAAAGAATGTGTAGATAGGGAAGAGAAGAGGGCCCAAGACTAAGGTAGGAGGAAACTTTCCCCATTCAAGAAAGGGCCAAATGAATGAATGTCTGAAGTAAGAGCGGAGTTAATTTGATGGGATGCTGCAGAATGTAGGCAGATAAGTGACCCTTAGTTTTGACAGGGTGAACACCATGGGTGATCTTAACAAAATAGTTTCATTGGCAGGAGTGGTACAGATAGAAACCCGTTTCAGTAGGCTCACTAAAGTGTATAGCCTTGAATAGGGGTTGACAGGGAGAACTCTGGGGCCTAGTGGCTGGCTTTGAATGCTGCAGCTGCCATTTACCAGCTGTGCAGTATTGGGTAAGTAACTGCCTCCATGTCCTATTCTGTTAAATGAAGGATAAAATGAAATATAAAGAAAATTTTAGAATAGTGCTTTGTGTATAATTAGCATTCAATACGAGTTAGGTGGCCAGAAAATTTTGGAAACTTTTTGTTGAAATAGCCTTTTTTCCCAAATTTTCTAAGCATTTGGTTTTCAAATTTAAAACTTAAACTTTCAGTTTCAAACCAGCTTTATTACATTTTTTTGTTTTTCACTAACCTAAAAGAGAAAGCCATTAATAGTGTGCATGTGTATAATTTTTCCTGAGTTTTATGAAACATAATTCATGTGTTAGAGCCTACATGACTGTAGTGCTGCAGTCATTTATGTTGTCATAAAAAAGGCACTGCTTATGCTTGTTGATCCTTTTTTGTTGTTCAAGATACTATCTATTTTTTAAAAAAATTTTATTTAAGGTATTCGTTTTGTGTGTTTCATATATACAGATTTAGGAACATAGTGATACTTCCCATCCTACCCTCCCTCCTGCCCACACTGCCACCCTTCTCCCTTCCTCTCCTATTCCTGCTCTTAATTTTTACAAAGATCTATTTTCAGTTTACTCTATACTCATAAAATTAACACTACACTAAGAGTGTTTTTTTCTTCATATTATTTGTTGAATTCAGTGTAGGGTGATTTTATGATCCTTTTCTAATGTGATAAAATTGAGCCCTTATCCAAATTCCTGTCCATTAAATTGCATTTCAGATAGATTCCTTTGAGTGATGACTTATAAAAGCTAATCCCAAATAAGACTAATGGTTTCTAAACTTGGTTTTGTGAAATTTTGAGCTCTGTTTGCTGTCTAAAGGGTCTTTGTGTGTGTGTGTGTGTGTGTGGTTATACTTTAACATTGAAATTGCCAGAGAAGGAGTATATGAGGGACCAATGATAAGCTATAACTTGAAACTTAAGTAGAACTTTTTACTACTAAGGTTTTTAACTTTACCTGAATTTTGAATGTGTTAATTCAGAAAACTGTTTAATGTGCTGCATAGTGTTATTGGTTACCATTTAGCAGGGAGTACAGCTGTTGAACAAGTAATTACAAGACTCATGAGTATCATGAAGAAGGCCAGAATATATGTCTGGGGGAGGTCAGGAAAGACTTCCCATTTTATCATAGCTTGGGAAGATGAAGAACAGTTTGTTGGGACAAAAAGATGGGAAAGGAAACCTGTGAAAGCATTTTAGGTTTTAGGGAACAGATTGTGTGAAGGTCCTAAAAATCAAAGAAAAAAAGATTTTTCTGGAGGAATTGAAAGATACTGAAAAAAAGAGCAAGGGTAAGAATAGCAGTGGATAGAGAGGATCACACAGGACTTGTTGAGTCCCATTAAGGATCTTGGATGCTATAAGGGGAAATCAGTGCAAGACTTTAAGGCAGATGAGTTTTCCAAGGTTTTTTTTTTTTTTTTTTTAAAGCCTGGTTCTATTTTCAGCACAAAATAAAATTCTGTAAGTCTATATTTTATTTGATTTTGTGTTCTCTACAGGGTTTTGACTTTATAATGCATTATCAAGAATGTAAATATTATACTTGTCATTTGAGATACTTAAGATGTTTTCTCACCTTTACCATTTGCTGACATTCATTTCTTTTTGATAGTATGAAGACCTGGAAAATATTTAGGCTCTTTTTTTTTTTAAAGGTAATTTTTTTTTTTTAAGCAGGTATGTTTTTCTATATTTTAAAATAGGCTGGCCAGCACACCGGGTTCTAGTCCCGGTCGGGGCGCCGGATTCTGTCCCGGTTGCCCCTCTTCCAGGCCAGCTCTCTGCTGTGGCCAGGGAGTGCAGTGGAGGATGGCCCAAGTGCTTGGGCCCTGCACCCCATGGGAGTCCAGGATAAGTACCTGGCTCCTGCCATCGGATCAGCGCGGTGCGCCGGCTGCGGCGGCCATTGGAGGGTGAACCAACGGCAAAGGAAGACCTTTCTCTGTCTCTCTCTCTCACTGTTCACTCTGCCTGTCCAAAAAAAAAAAAAAAAAAAAAAAAAGGCTTACATGTAACTAAATGTGGTAATTTAATAAAGTCATGGACTTTTTTAAAATCTGAAAAGACACCTCAAGAACTATCCAGTTCCATAATTTTTAAGAAAATAAAATGGAGAGGAATATAGACCTAGTGGCATACCCAGTGTTTATAAGCTTAGTAGTAACTGAATGCCTGATTTTTTGCTTCTTCTACTCTGTAGTGCTGTAGAGGTAGTATTGTGTAGTTGAAAGAAAACAGGGTTTGTTTCCACGTAGATAAATGTTCAAATCTCAGATCTGCCATTTACTACTTGAGCAATGTAGGCAAATGAACCTCCCTTTTCTTTATTGACATAAGAGGGAGAATTTTGTTTTCTTCTGCAGTTGAATAAGATGAATATTTAAGAGCCTAGCTCTTCCCTCCTCCTCAAATACTGGTTGATTAAACAGAAGTATGTTACATTAGTATTGATACTGTTACTCTTGTTACCACCACTCTTGTTACTATCATGTAACATTTGTGTGCACTCTTGTTAAAATGTTTCATATTACTTTTAAGTTTGGTGAGGTAAGCATTGTAATCTCCGTTTTGCAGGTGATGACACTGAGGTACTAAAGCATGAAGTTAAAGATATTTTCCCATAATGATTTAAATTCAAGTTGAAGTTAAAGATATTTTCCCATAATGATTTAAATTCAAGCTATCTTCTTTGAGAGGCAGGAAGGGGGGGTGGGAACTGATTGACTCTCTCCATTTGCTGGCTTATTTCCCAAATACCTGCAATAGACAGGGATGGGCCAGGCTGAAGCCAGGAGCCAGAACTCAATCCATATGTCTCTCATGTGTGGCAAGGGA